ATCAATTTGTCCCGTCGTGACATTGCTTGCGACCAGGCCACCACAATCCGGTGGTGTGGGACCAGCACTACCCATGAACAGGTGAGAACTCCCGGTTCTATCACGCCTTTCGAACTGAAGACTACGTGGGCCGTCTTGCCTCCCTAGCTGCCCAATGTAGCAAAAATGCATTGGAAGGGGCTCTTCTCGCTCGCTTTCACCTGGGGCCTCTTGTCTTGGAGTTTTTTTGTTGAATATGCTATGCCCATTAATCTAGGTGCGGGTTATTCCATGCAATGTTGCTTCTGACCCGCACGATTTGGATCTGAGGCTTCATTCAAATAGGGGTCGGCGGCACCCGGGCGGAGCCCTTACAATAAATGAGAAAGTAACTGGAAGGTAAACTACAAAGTGAACTAACAATCGAAGTCCAGTACAAAGTCATATCCTGTACGCCAAGTCTTTCTGGAATAAGACAATGAAAGACAAAGGGAAAAGGAAAAAAACACATTGTCAGGGTAGTTGCTTCATGTTGCTTCCCAACCATAAACCTGTTAAGCCTTTTAGTCACCTGTAGGTTCTTTCTCATTCCGAGTGATTCTCCGGCCTTCGGGCGGAAGGATTGGCTCGGAATATATCCCCAATTCCCATCCGCTCATAGAGCCATAGACCTGGCGCATAAAATGGTTCAGGTCTAATTAAGGGTTTAAAGGGATACTACCTAACAGCAATCGCCTCCAACCTAATAGCGATGGCCTCCAACCCATAGCAAATGTTTTAGAGCAACTACCTCAAATTTCTCTCACCTGAAGCTCAAAGGCCATCCACAAAACGTTCAGGCAAAGCACAAAAGCAATCCTTGGCACGGCCAATCTCCAACACAACACGTTCCCCAAACTGAACCCAGCACCTTTCAGAATCGCGAGTCTTCTTTCGCTATGTGAACTTTTGCTGAACCTTGACCCACCAAAGAACCCTTGTGGCTCACTGTCCAAGCGGCAGGACCTCATAGTTGTGAGATTCCAACCAAGCTTGGATCCGCTGAAAACAGCTCATTCGCTGATAGACCTCCGGCGGGATCTCAGAGTTCTCTGTGAGGTTGGTCCTGCTCTTCCTTAAGGCAGCCATCATCGGTTCCTGCTGAAACATACCAGAATTCAGCGACTCCGTCCACACATCCAAAATCTCGTCTGCGTGGATTTCTCGCATGTCTTTGTGCCTCTCAGCAATGAGTTCACCCAGTTGGCTTTGATGTCTTCTTTTGCTCAGACTCCTTCTGCTTTGAGCGCTGGTCAAACTTGCTAAGCTTTTTCTGCCAGGCCTAATCTTCGACCGCTCCTTGCTGCTGTTTAAGCTTGTGAAGCTGTTCCTTCCAGGTTTGACCTTCGAGGCGGCCCTTTTCTCTGTCAATTCACTTTCTGTTCCAGTCCTCGCTGCGGACAGCTCCTGTGCGTGTTGCTTCACCAGTAGATCAATGAGTCCTTGGAAGTCTTCAGAGACTGATCTGGCTGGTGGAGCAAACGAGGGAAACGATGAAAGCTGCCAAGATGAAGGTGGTGAAGGCGAATTCTCAGAGTCATCAGGGAGTCGTGGCTTGGCCGTTCTGATTTCAGGCAGCAAATCAAAGCCAAGGCTTGAAGCGCTTACCATTCTTCGACACTCTATCCAAAGCCGAAGCTTTATGCAACGTGCTCACAATGTCAAAGGTCCCCAACGGAGAAACCCACAAGGCATTGGTACTTTTTTGTTTGAGGCTTTGTTCTGGTTGTGACTGCCTGTGCCAAAGAAAAGCGAGATTGGCATGTCTAAGAGATGCCGCCTAGAAAATTGACCTCATGTCACTGCCCTAGCCACTTGATCGGTGGTGAAAGCGAGGCAGCGGGGCGTGTGGCATTCAACATCATTCAACCTCAATGTGTTCCTAGTATCTTCTTGCTCCTAGTAGCGATGCCAGGAGCCCCTAGTAGCGTCCTTGCTCCTAGTAGCGATGCCAGGAGCCCCTAGTAGCGTCCTTGCTCCTAGTAGCGATGCCAAGAGCCCCTAGTAGCTCCTTGTTCCTAGTAGTTTCTTTGTCCGTTATCTTTCCAACTTTGACCTTTTGTTTCGTTCCTGTGTGCTTCCTCGTTGGAGGCCACCGCTATCTCTAAAACCATTCCTGTTCGGGACTCTCTCGGGTCGGTCGACTCCTGAAGAGTCGATTTCGTACCTGCCAAAACGGCCGAGACGAGAAAATGCTTTGACTGGAGCAAGGACGCTATTAGGTGGAGGGCATCGCTAGGTTGGAGGCCATCGCTACTAGGAACAAGAAGCCACTAGGAACAAGTGCATCGCTTCTAGTAACAAGTGCCTTACTACTAGGAGCAAGAAGCTACTAGGAACAAGAAGCCACTAGTATTGTTGGCGTATCGAACGAAATCAAGCCAGTGCGACGGTGGGAAGGGTGCAGCCTCAGCTCATAGACTTCAACACAACGGGAGGGTTGTACTCGACACCAAAACAACGGTCCTCTTCGAAAGCGTCAAAGGCAAATTAATGAGCAATCATCGTGAGGTGAATTTCTGTGAGCGCAGGTAACCAGTCACTAACCAGTCACTGAACATGAGTGGCCATTCACCATTCTTGTCAATCTCATTCTGAGGTCGTTTCTTGCCAACAAGAAGCTATTAGAAACAAGTGCATCGCTACTCGTAACAAGTGCCTTACTATATAGTAGTAACAAGAAGCTACTAATTTCAATTCTAATAGCTTCTTGTTACTACTAGCAAGGCACTTGTTACTAGAAGCGATGCACTTGTTTCTAATAGCAAACATTGTTACTACTAGTAAGGCACTTGTTACTAGAAGCGATGCACCTGTTACTACTAGTAAGGCACTTGTTACTACTAGTAAGGCACCTTGTTACTAGCAGCTACCAACCGTACTAAGCCAAGAGGTCACTCAGCTGCAGACTGTGGCCACGCCGCAGGTACCTGAAAACGCTTCGATGGCGAACCCTTCGAGTCCGGGTTGGTTTGTCGCCTCAGTCTAAAGCAACTCATCTTTAAAGCGAAGCGACGTGTTGCGAAAGCTTCAAAATCACAGGCGAAACTTGAAGTAATCTACATGATGTACATGATTCTATATTTCTGGTAAAGCTTCCAAATGTCAAATCCCTTGCAGGACTTGAGTTCCAGGACAACTTGCAATCCTTAACAGGGCCCCCGGCTTGCATGAGATGGACTGGGGTCTCACGAAAGAGCACGGATGACGTCTCCAAGTGGATGGCTTCATGTTCAATGCCCATAAAGATCGACCTTGAAGCCCCATGCACATTCCGTCTGAAGTTTCTAAGGCTGAAGGTGTCTTAGTGAGCGCAATGTGTTTTTATGTCAAACTTCCCAAACTTCAGACCTCCTCTGGAAAGCATCTAGGCCAAGTCTATGCCATGCCTTCACCCTAAATGTCTAATGACGTTAACAGCTTGACAACAAAAACGACACACTGTGTCAAAAAAATGTCCGGTGATCACATGACTCATCATCCGCCATTGCTAGCTAGGTTGGAGGCCATGGCCCTTAGGTTGGAGGCCATCGCCCTTAAGTTGGAGGCCATCGCTATTAGCTTCCTCTCCTTTTCTCTAATGATCTGGGTCACATCGTTTCTAAGGCTGGCACCAGAGCGGGTGGTCCCAAGTTATCCGTGCCTCGCCCTCAAGGCCACTGTGCGTGGCAATGACCTCAACTCCGCTCACAAGTGTTCGAAGCTTCTTGAAGGTTCCGAAGCATGAGCGAGTTTAGTTCTTTGGAGTAAAACATATCTTGAGCGAGCCATGCAGCAACTAGAGGCTGAAATCTGTAAAAATAATGCTCAGCTTCGCCTGCAAACACACTATCATTCTATTCTGACCAAAACACTGCTCTCTTTTGGACACTTCGACATGTCCAAATTTGAATGTAAGGCAGCAGCATCACTAACAATCTTGTACACCTGTTTGCGGTACTCTTGCACCTGGATCGATTTTGCGAGTAGGAAAGGTTCCCTGAATGCTTCGACTTCGGCTACATAATTTCAGCTCAACTCACCCACACTACACCACATGCACCTCCTTCACCTTCGGCCACACCATATCCTGGGAATTTGCATTCCACAAGCTGTTAGCAGCTGTTAGCTATGTCATTATTGGTCCCTAGCTACCCAGCTGCCTAGCTTGAGCAAGTTCAAGGACTTCGTCACCCAAACTTTACCAGTGGAGCTGAGCTTGCCAAGTCTCATTCTTGTGCATGTCATCCCACAGCATCTCATCCACACCCACCTGCAACTGCACAATAAGTACAAAGGATATCTACATTCATTTAGCATATTTGTTGAATGGTGTTTGCCAAAGAAGAACTGCATGATGTTGCCATTGTGGCTCTCGGTGCTCAAGCAGCATGTTTTACTTGTCCGGTCATCAAAGTGCCACACTGTGCCACATCAGAATTCAATGTGGAAACCCAGAAGCGGCTACACAATTGAAGCTGTATGGCAAACCCCTTAAAGATTGAAACACGAATCAAGAACAAATTAAAGCAAATTAAAACGCGTGTCAATGAGAAAGAATAGCGCTTTGCCTTCGAGACATCTGAGCATCTTTGGCTCTGATGTCATTCCTTCGACGGTTCAGTTTAAATAAGCCATAACATTGTGTCCCTGTGCCAAAAACGGTTCCATCATGTTCCATCCAATCTTTTGGTCTGCGATAACAGGGGACCCAATGTGCATCCGGCATCACCCAGACAATCTCCACAGATATCGTTGGGTCTCTCAATTCGGACATACTCGAGTTGCCCCGTCTCACATGCTTCTCACTCTTGCAAAAGGCAGCTGTCGGATGTTCTCACTTAGGCTCCTGTGTTGCGTCAGCAAGTGTAATGTTCCATGATGTGCCATGCTTTGGCCAAACCAATAAACAGTAAAAGAGTAGCCAGAAGCTACTAGTAGCAAGTGCATCGCTACAACCGTAATGTGCCTTCTACACCTCCTTGGCTTTTGCAGCCCCCTTCTTAATTCCCTCTGCCTGCTGGCTCCAACTCCACCTCTGCCTGTTCTTGCTCTGACCGAAAAATGGAAGAACGCGAAGCAGGTACAGGGAAGGTGAACGTATGCAGCAAGAAGCAAATGAATGCCACCCATTCCTCAGATGTTGAGACTTTAAAGGACCTCAAGCTGCTACCGCTAGGCTTCTAGGCCGCTAGGCTACCGCTAGCCACTAGCGCTACAGTCTCTCCACTTCCCTATTACTTTTCTTCCACATGTTTTGCAGCAACATCCTTCAGTTCCTTGCCCAGAGTCTGCCCAGGATTGCTTGGAAAAGCCAAGAAGAATCGATGTGAACCACCAGACTATCAGCACCTGTGTTCATGGAGCAAACAGTCGTGCATTGCGTCAGAGATCTGTATATAGGAAAGTCACTGCTACTTGGCCCAAGGCGGACGTTTCCCCAACCCCTGTGGGTCGAAAGGTTCAAGAAGAAGTGGTCTTGATGAATTCGAACACTTCTCATCAGTGCAACTGTAGTTTAGTCTACATCTTCTAGCAGATCATCTAGCTGCGTCTTACTTCTGCCAACCCCCTTGACTGCCCCTCCGATTAAAGAGGAAAAGTAATCAAACAACAAGAACTCAGCAGGATACAAAAGGGAAAGTTCAACTCCCCTCGCAAGTTCAGCCTTTCTTCCAAGGAGCAGCAGCCATGACGCATGTGATCACTGCAAAGCGGTGATCTCAGTCGAGATAAGGCAATTCAGATCTGGAAGACATTTTGTTTGCATCTATAGGATTGCTTTGTGATGGATTGTGACATCAATACACATCAGGGTTTCACACTGAGCGTAATTGGGAGGTGTTGAGGTGAGCTCAGGTGGTCTACGAAGTTCCCAACTGCTCCAAGCCACAGGGAGGGCAACCGGAATAGCAGCGGACGCTAAAGGCAACACACCATGGACCCATCGTCAGTCCGGCGAAGAGCAAATGAAACCTCAGCATCTGTGAGCAAAGGTCAGGAAAAATGCTACGCAGCTACTCATAGCGTCCTTGTTACTAGTAGTAATGGCCTCCAACCTAATTGCAATGGCCAATGGCCTCCCCCTAGTAGCGTCCTTGTCTGCAAATGTGACAACATGTGCAATCCCAAGAGGCTCCTTACATTCTCTTTGTTTTTCTTGGCAAAAGGAACATGCACAAAAGGCTTAAGGAAAAAAGCTTTAGGAATAGGCCATCGCTCTTAGGTTGGAGGCCTCATCGCTTAGGAACAGACCTTGAGAAGTGGAACAGACACTGTCAAGCAACTCATGAGACGTCGTATGAGTCGTCATATGAGTCGTTTCGAGGTTCGAGTTTCGCCGTGCGAGTTTCACCGAGGTGCCCCCGGTGGAACCGCATAGAAATCCACGCCATTGGTATCATCGAAACGCAGCCTACAAGGCCAGCCATGCGAAAGACTCGCACCAACCTGGCGCTTGGAGACTATCAAGATGATCCTAGTAGCGATGGCGAGGGCCTCTAGTAGCTTCTTGTTCCTAGTAGTAAGGCCAGGAGCCCCTAGTAGCGTCCTTGCTCCTAGTAGCGATGCCAGGAGCCCCTAGTAGCTTCTTAAAATCCCAAAGGTTGGACTGGGATTGTAAAGGTCTTCTAGCTCAAGTCGCAGTGTGCCTTGCGTAGACCTGAACCACTCTGCACTCTTGGCAATTCCATGCAGTTCCCAGA